ATCGAAGTGGGAGTGGGCCTGGTGAGGCAGCAAGAAGCCAAGAGGGATAGGGATAGGATTCGGATTTAGAAAATCCAAAGCCAAGGCAACAGCCAAGAGGTAAAGGAAGTTGTAGCAGTCACTAACTCAGCATGTAGTATCTCCTAGTACTCAGGGTAAATATGTAAGCTAAGCTCTAATGACAATCTCAAGTGTCACCTGGGAGAGGTAATATATTAAGCCATTAACAAACATTAACACTTTAAGAAAACTGTATTTTTCCATTGGCAGAGAGCTGACTCTCCAGCTCAGCCTCTTCCACCCCAAGGGCTACCTGACTAATCTTCTTAAGTACCATGTTCCTCCTGTCACATACTTCACTGCTCAAAAACTTGTGACTGTTCTTTATTGCCTGCCAAATAAAATACAAATTTCTCACTCTTCCAGGAAATTCATAGTTTGGTCTCAAACTTATTCAGCCTAATTTCTCCCTACTAAGCCTTGCTCTTAATGAGCACGACATAATTAATGCCTTCCTTCCCTCTCTTTGTTCCTTTTGTTCTCCCTCCTGTTATCTACTTTGGCTTTTCCTCCTCAAACCCCGTTCAAGTCCTAATAACCACTCCCTAAATATGCCAGCCTATCTTGCTATCTCTCCCTTCCCTGAGCTCCTGTAGTATTGGAGTCTATACCTCACACTATTCCCCAATTGTTTTATGTAGGGTAGTCTTATTTTTCCCAAGTAAATGTTATATGGTTGAGTAAGACAACTATGACTGGTATACCTGTTATCCTCTCTAGCAATGCTGAACAGTACTCAAGAAAAATCGAGGTTCAGATAATACTTCTTGGAAAAGATAGAGAAATTCCACTGAAATTAACTATAGACTGTATAAAATATTTGGGAGTCTACCTGCCAAGGCACAGACATGAACACCCATATGAACACAATTACGAAATACTCTTTTCACAAAAACAGATATAAATAATTGGATAAATATTTATTGCTCATGGGTAAGATGAGTTAATATGATAAAACTGAAAATGCTGTTTAATTTACTTATTCAACATTAAACTAATAAAACTACCAAAGCATTATATTATCAAGCTAGAAAAATTAATAACAAATTCATCTGGAGGAATAAAATGTCAAGAATATCAAATAATTAATGAAAGCAAATGGGAAGGAAGGAAGCCTAGCAGTACCAGATCTCAAATTACATGGCAAGGCTGAAATTATCGAAATAATTTTGGTACTGGGTATGAAATAGAGGGGGAAATTAAGTGGTGAACTGGATAGAGTGCCAGGCTTGAAGTTAGAAAGACTCATCTTTCTGAGTTCAAATCTGACCTCAGACACTTACTAGCTGTGTGACCCTAGGCAAGTCACTTAACCCTGTTTGCTTCAGTTTCCTCATCTGTAAAATGAGCTGGAGAAGGAAATGACAAAACACTTCAGTATCTTTGACAAGATACTGGCAAAAAAAAAAGTCAGGCGTGACTAAAACAACTGAACAACCACAAATGAAATAGAGAGGTTGATCACTGTACTAGGTACATAATACACAGAAGTAAATGAACACAGTAACCAGTATTTGATAATTCCAAAGATCCCAGCTATTGGGGCAAGAATCCAATATTAGGCAAAACTTGTTGGGAAAAACTGAAAAGTAGTCTACACATTAAAATAAGCTCCAAGTGCTTATTTGACATAAAAAGTAACATTATAAGCAAATTGGAGGAGAATGGAAGAAATTACCCATCAGATCTATGGGTAAGGGAAGAATTCATAATCAAAGAAAAAATAAAGAGGTTCACAGGAGGTAAAATGGACAAATTTGATTATATAACCTTAAAGTTTTTGCACAAACAAAACTAAGTAACTAAAATTAGAGGAGAAGCATGAAACTGGGGGGAAATTTTGCAGCATGTTTCTTTGATAAAGGTCTAATTTCTAAGACACATATAGGGAACTGATTCAAATTTATAAGAATAAGAGCCATTCCCCAACTGATATGTGAATAGGCAGTTTTCAGATAAAGATATCCAAGTTATACATTGCCATCTGAAAAAATTCTCTGAATCACTAATAATTAGAAAAATGCAAATTAAAATGATTTTGAGGCACCACCTCATACTCATTAGATTGGTAAAATTGGGGGGGGGAAGGAAATGATAAATGTTGGGGGGGGCTATGGGAAAACACTTTAACATACCACTGGTGGAACTATGAAGTGGTTCAGCCATTCTGGAAAACATTTTGGAACCATACCTAAAAAGCTATGAAATTGTGGATAGAGCACCAGCCCTAGAATCAGGAGGACCTGGGTTCAAATTTGACTTCAGACACATAATACTCACTAGCTGTGTGATTCTGGCAAGTCACTTAACCCCAATTGCCTCACACACACACACACAAAAAAGCTATTGAACTGTGCTTAATCTTTAATCTACTGAAAACAGTGGTAGGTCTATAACCCTAAAGATCAAAGAAAAAAAGAAAAACACACACAAGTACAAATATATATATAGGAAACTCTTCATTGTGGCAAAGAATTGAAAGATAAAGTAGTGCCCATAGATTGAAGAATAGCTGAACAAATTATGGTATATAAAAGTGATGGAACACTTGTGCTATAAGAAATAATAAAGGGAATGGCTTCAGAAAAATCTAGTTAGATTTGTATAAACTGATAAAAAGTCAAGAGAGCAGAACCAGGAGAACAATTTATACAATTATAACAATATTGTAAAGATAAGTCACTTTGAAAGATTTAGTAACTCTGATCAACACAATCACCAATCACAAATCCAAAAACCTCATAATGAATCACGCTATCCATCTAGATAGAAAGGTGATGGACTCAGAGTATAGACTTAAGTATATTTTCTTTTCTTTTCTTTTTTGAACATAGTTAAAGTGGCAATGTATTTTGCTTTACTATGCATATCTGTATAGGCTCAATAGCATTATTCATTATGTATGCCAGCAGATCTCATCTTCTCATGTAACCTGTCTACCAGGTGTACCATGAAACAGCAGCTTATTTTTTAGGTTCAATGATGTGAAAGCGAGGAATTTCTTCCCTTTTTTTGTCTTTGTATCCCCTGCAACTAGCAACAGGCTCAAATTTAACTGAGGTGGGTCATTTGTTTCATAATAGCTAACATTTATATCAAACTTACTGTGTGCCAGAGACTATGTAAAATGCTTTACAATTTTCTTGTTTGATCCTTACAACAACTCTGGGAGATAGGTGCTGTTATTATTCCCAATTTACAGATGATGAAACTGAGGCAAACAGGTTAAGTGACTTGCCCAAGGTCACACAGATGTAATCTGAGGCTGGATTTGAACTCAGGTCTTCCTGAATCCAGGACTAGCACTAGCCACTGCTTCATCTAGCTGCCTCTAACTAAGTCTTCCATTTTGGTGGCATTGGGAGACAGAGGAGAGAAAAGAGAAAGAGGGAAGAAGAGATGAGAGGAGAAGAGAGAAGAAAGGAGAGGAGAGAAGGGGAAAGGAAGGAAGGGAAAGGAAAGGGAGGGGAGGGGAAGGGAGGAGAAAAGGGGTCCTAGGAGCAACCTGCATGATCTAGACCTGCATGATCTAGACCAGCAGTGAATTTAGAAGCCAAGACACCAGATTCTGCAGGTAAGGAAATGGCTTGTCCAGAGGCTGTGTAACACCTGGGTGTGAACTTGATAAGACAAATGTCTGGAAGCAAGCTCGTACTTTTAAGTCTGAGCCCTCTCTCCCCAGAGACCAGGATTTTGGAGAGTAGAATGTGACTGGTCTGGGAATTCTTGCTATATTTTTCCAGTAACTATCCTTTTGTGAAAGCTAATCAGTTTTAACAATTTAACTAGGTGGGGGTTTGAGCCTATAGCATTAGAAAAACCACTCCCAAAACTACTGGAGGGGGGGAATCCCTAGAACCTTGATGGGAGATGAGTAAGAGCAAGCTCTGGGGATGTAGCCTGCCCTGTGGGCCCTGGCACAATGTTCCATA